ACATGCAAGCGGCAGCAAATAGCTTGTCTGTCAGCGATATTCAAGGCAGAGAGACAAACGGCTCCTGGCAAAGGTTGGAAGTATTCATTGAAGGCGAAGCAAGATATTGAAGTATAAAGTAAATGTAAGAGATGGATCCTCTTACACAACCTGTGTGTGTGTGTGTGTGTGTGTGTGTGTGTGTGTGTGTGTGTGTGTGTGTGTGTGTGTGTGTGTGTGTGCGTTTCCTTTACTCAGTCTATGTACTAGTTCATCGGGGGCGTCCTCCTTAACAAATGCTTCAGGCCAGAATGCCAGATGTTTGTACATGATGTCATCAAGCTGCCCATGCATTTCAACTCACAGATTTTACATTTTTTGATCTTATTCAGAGAATGCTGTTCTAACCTTACAACTTGTTTGCAATTGTATTTGTTATAATTTAATTTTATATTGTTCCACTGCACTCCCTCCTAGGGGGTGTGCCCCCCAGTTTAGAAACCACTGACTTTGACCAGTGGTTTGCGGGGGCGGACCCACATGGACATGAAAACACGACAAACTGCAATGGTCAAAGCGGAAAACATTGAGGAAAGCTCCATTGATGGAGGTTAAACACAACTGACGTTCTCGGATCTGTCAGGCTTTATCATTTCAAGATGTGCAAAGGCATAATATATTTATTTAAGCTCACAGCTTATTTAAGCTTCATTAAAGGTAATTATAGACCCTGTTATGTGTCTCAGCCATCCCCGGAGTGGTCATTAAGTGTGGGTAGCTGTGGTCGCTCTGCCAGTGTTTATGGCTGCCGGAATAATTCTGTGTCTGTCTGCATTGGGAAGACCGGGGGTGGTAACAACTTCTTTTACAAAGTCATTAGAGCAGAGACGTCGTGGGCAAAGGCAGGAATGTTCTGGACTTGCTTACACAAAAAAATGTCACCGTAAATTAACGGTAACTTACTGGCAGCAGGGACGCCAGCAACTTACCGTTATTTTATGGCTCGCTACCATAATTGAACCATAAGCCATATTTCGGATTACAATATTGTTATCGTACATTCATACACCAATTTAACCCTAAAAGTTCCTGGCATCGGAGACGTCGGTAGTTTAAAAAAATGATTTGTATAGTACTGTACAATATACTGTTACTGTATATTCAAAGATTCAAAGATTTTTATTGTCATTTACTTGTCATTTATTGCATTACAGTATGTTATATTTTATTTACAAAATAACAACAAATACTTTTGCATTTAATTCCCCACAAATAAAAGAAAGACATAAAAACTAATTTAATACATAATTTAAAAGGCAAATATTTCAGGGACATTTGTATACAACAACAACAACAATGTTGTAACTAAAACAGTTAACTTCATAAGGGCAAGAGTATTGAACCACAGACAGTTTGTTGTACTTTTGGAGGAGTATGAGAGAGAGTAGCGTGACGTAGCACAGAACTGTGAGGTGCCTCAGCCTGGGTAAAGAATATGGGACATGAAAGCATTCAACAAGAGATGCAACAATTCTGTGAGAAGAAAGGGAAAAACATCGCAGAGATCTCAGATACAGACGGCAGATTTTGGATTTGCTACTTATGTGGTCAAATGAACGCACATTTGTGCAGTCACATCAACAGTCACTGTGCAGTCACTTCCCTCTGGGAGGCTCTACCTCCACCCTCAATACCCTGTTCATATATATATACATATGCACTGTATATTATATCTGCATTGCACTTTCTTCAGCTTTCTTTGCACTTCTGGTCAGATGCTAAACTGCATCTTGTTGTCTCAGTACCTGTACTTTCTTATGTGCAATGACAATACAGTTGAGTCTGAATCATTAGCAGCTCAGCACCATATAATGTACTGTTCTTTTATTAGATAATAGAATTAAGCAGTATTAAGTTAAGCCTATTGGTTCGGCCCTCCACTACGGTCCCAATTTCTCATGCGGCCCCTTTGGAAAATGAATTGCCCACCTAAGCTAGAGTGAACTTATACGGCCCCTTCAGGTACTTCATTTTAAAATCATCAAAAGTGTATTGAATGTAAACAGTAAAGCATTAAATACGCACCAGTGCATTCCACAAACTGACTATGTCAACGTACACATTCAAATCAGATTTTCTCAACTCCTGAAGTTGTTCCAGTGCCATTTCTCCCATGATACCTTCAAGAATCACAAATATAGAAGAAAAGATCCATTTAGTATAACCTACGTCTCCTAAAAAGAAATGTCAATGTTGCCAATCGCAGTGTGTGTAACTTGAGGAGGTAACCAGGAGCGGAGAAAATACTTCCCTTCTCAGCCCTACCAGCTACTGTCATCATGTCAAAGGAAAAGAACAGGGAGATGACCATCAGTTAATAGACAATAGGAAGGGCAAAACTGGGAATAAATTAAAAACAAGAGAGAGACAGAAAGGAAAAAAAGTACAATGTCAAGATGCGTTTAAACTTGAAAACCCCCACCTGTCATTCTCCTTAAGCCTTATTTCTTTCCCAACAGTCACAGGGATATACATCTCACCCAAATGAAGGGACAATCCCTCTAAAAGGCTGCTGACAGGGCACAGAGGTACACACAGTTTACTACATTTCTACCGGCAGCTCGTTGTGGATTCCTGTATCTGCTCCATATTTAGATGAAGGGCTCATTCAGGGGAAGCTCCCTGAGGATAGGGAGCAAGAGCATCAGGCGAGGGAGGCCAGAGTTTACCCTGATGGAAAAAAACAGTGGCTTAGTTATTTGCTGTTTTACAAGGGCCGTTTGAGAGTGTGTGCTGACTGGACCTCTCTGTCCTCTCAGCACCTTCTCTTGACCTTGTGTGTGTGCAACGTCTGAATTGATGAAGCTACCAATGCGTACTCGTCAAATACTGACCGCTTAGTGTCTCTGTGGCATTCTTGTAACCCCTCTATTGTTATTTTGAAATGTGTCTGGGACAGTTTGCGGTGATTATGTATATAATGTCTTCTGTAAACAAACTTGAAACTACTTACTTTTCTTTTAGGTTTATTTACGCAACAAAACAAAACGGTGCCAAATTACTCTAGAATTTGCCCACCAAGGGAGCAAGTTACTTTTGCTAAATATTTAGTTTTATGCTATTTATATATTGTTGATCAAATTAATAAATATTACAACATTATCTAAATGGAATATTTTCTAATTCTTATCAATTAATTGAATGTCGCAATTGAGATATGGCCAGTGTTATTAGTGCTAACCTCACCAGAACAATTCACAGCCGGCGCTCGGTGAAGGACAATCGATTCAAAGTGCAATATCTCGTAAATGAGAGATTTTTTTTATTTTACCTCGGATCCATCTGATTCTAATGAACGGCATACCACAGGATTACCCTGATTGCATTTCATTACATCTGGCACAAACATCTGCTGGCACTCATGAAAGGTTTATCTCCAAAAGGTGAAAGGTCAATTGAACGTCACAAAGCACTATTTACTGCCATTGCTCAAGAAAATACGGGAGATTGTGACTATATTTTACAAATTGATATTTCACTCATCTTGGGTGCTCACCGTGGAAATGTGGTGACTGAATTAATCTCCTGTGACGTTGGGTTAAAGATGTGTATTTACGATTGTGTTGTATCAGAACTCGCTTTTCCGAACAAGCCTGTGAACGTGAATTTTACTCTTTTTTACATTTGTACACCAGAATGATTTGACTGCACTTCAGAGGCAATTTTCCTCTCTCTTCTTCTGTATCTAATCTCCTCCACCTTCCTCCTCCAACTTCTCCCCCTTTCCCCTCCTCTCCCAATGCTCGGTGGTGTCTTGCTGGACTTATTCCCCAGCTCAAGAGGTTAGCTGTTAATCCCTCACAGTTTTCAGCACTTTGGGCGCCAATCAAAAAGGGCTTAGCCTGTGTAATTTGCCAGACTATTGTCCCCTCTCACTTTCAGTCTTTGCTCCTGCTCCTCTCCTTGTCCTCCTCCACCTTCAACCTCTACACAGTGGGAGTCTTTCCAGCCTGATCCCTCCCCCTCTAGAAAAAGTGTTTTTCCCAGTGACAAATGGAATAAACACGTATCTGGACTTTATACATAAGAGAAATAAGGCGCAAAACCAAATTGTTTTTTTAGAGTAGTTTTCACAAGTTAAGGGTACAAAGCATTTTATGGTAACTACAAATGAGAAATGAATCAATCTGAAGGGAGGAAAATGAACTGGTATCACCTCTTCATTCTTGGCAGGATGAAAAAATAACTTTGCCCTAACAGGCCTGCATGTAGAACAAGGGATTTTATTGACGCGCTGTGCTTCCCCACTACTTTCTTTACTTTCTTTTCATATTTTATTGACATAAAGTCGATTAAACTTACAATTATTGCAACAATCAATCAAAAGGCAAAGACAGTATGCGATTGTAAAAGATAAACAATGAAAACCGCAAACTTATAGCTACCAGAGTCATGTGCTATTAATGAATGCTTGCTAAATATGTTTGAAATTGCTATTTTGTTGACAAGGAACATGCTTCTTTTTATAAGATCAAGACCAAGGTTAACATCACCAACGTCTAACCATAATCACAAAGAGTTGAAAGATGCTTAAGTTGATATTCAAGTCTTGTACCAACTTTCTTGATGAAAGATATAAAGGCGATCAGCCCTCTTCTTGGCCATTGGCCACCCTTAATTAATATACAGCATACGTCTCCTCTTTCTCTCTACAAGCAGCCTGGTTCCTATAGTTCCAGGTAACCAGCATGTCATGGGCTGAGACAATGAACATGCTGCCTGTTGGAGCCCTGTTAGATCATAAAGACACTAAATGTTCAATTCCAGTACTCACACCGTTATGAGAAACTGCACCTAATGTGGAAAAGCCGGCAAAAAGTTTAAAGGAGAGTGTATGTCAACAGAAAATTTGCAAAAGCAATACTTTTTATGAAAAATTATGAAACAGGACTTGGCGGGTCTTGCCTATAACCCATTTGAGCTTTGACACAAGCTTAGACCCTTTCTGTTTCTCCTTCCAGACATTGACGAATGCCAGGAGAACAACGGAGGCTGCGATCACTTCTGCAGGAACACGGTGGGCTCCTTCGAATGCAGCTGCCAGAAAGGCCATAAACTACTTACCGATGAGCGGACATGCCAAGGTCAGTGATGGGCAGCTGTCATTTACACAGATTCTCAATGTGTCACCCAGCAGTCAGTACTGGTTTTATCAAGCACAGTCGTGGTGGCTGGTGATTACCTGGCTCGGGGGGGCTACAGGCGTCGGCAACTTCTGACACAATCGAATATATTTGTATTTGAACCCAACATAAATGCTGAAATTCCTTTTGTTCCCATTTTTATATTGTCCTGACTTTATTGTCATATTCCACTTAATGCTTAAAGGACTACTGTTTCTCTGATATGTACTGCAATACAAATAATCAATCACAAATAAGCAACAATACCATCTTGTGTCAGAACGCTCCTCTTTTGCTGTCATCTGCTGAAGTTATAGACCCAATAGGAGTTTTGAATATACAAATAGTTCTACCCCGTTAACCTGTTTGCTTAATGCTTAAAGGAGAAAAATCCATGCTGAATCTGCAGTAAATGTAGTAGCCTTGTGTTATCAGTGGGGATGTTTGTTCATCTAAAGGCAGATTCCTGTTGCAACAGACGAGAGCAGACATAGACACGCATATTTTCTTGATGTGTCTCATCAACTGTGCATCTCAAGAGCTGCTTTTGAAGTCTTAAATAAAGAGGTGTTGAGTGTTGTTTGCTGACTACAGTGTCAGTGCCAATCCATTGACTCCTGGACTGTTTGTCTTCAACGTGACCTTAGAAGGAAATATAAACTCCTAGTAATACATTCCAGTGTACTTTGCCATAACGGCCACAGAAACCAAAGCAGAAAGATGAATCTTTTCCCATATTTGCATAAGCATTTTCCACAAGTTGGTCCTTCTTTTTCTTAAAGTGTGTCAGCAGGTAGTTAAATGTCGAGATCTCCTTGTCCCTTCATCAATACCTCACAGAGGATCACATCATACAAGATATTATTTCAAGTGTGCTCCTTCCAAATTCAACACCTGCAGAGTTTAGCTTAGGTGAACACGCGGAAAAGATGCCTGGAATATTTACCGAGCCAACCTCGAGAACCTTAACAACTTCCTCGACCTGACAAACTCCATTATGACATGTCGTATTTTTAGCCCCTGTAAAGCCCAGAGGAACAGCCTGAAATAAACTAGGTGAGCTGAAAAGCGCTGACCTTCATTCCTGATGAGTTAATAATATTCAGTGGCGCACACACACAGACACGTGGACACAGATTATTGTGAATGTGAGCTGGCTCCACCTCACGCAAGTAAAGTTTCTTCTGACTGTTTTTCTAGAATGACGTTTTCCCTAGTTTAGTGTGCCACTCATGTATTTATTTCCTATTTATTTCCTGTCCAGCGGGACAAAACCTCAGAGCTCTCAGTGGGCTGATTTGAACCTGGACTACAGCTAAATTCATGATTCCATTAACGTGTTTTAAATCCAACACCCGTAACCGCTGATGGAGCATCGGCAGCTTGTGAGGCTAAAATATTCAGCTGATATCTAATATTCAACTGATGCAGATACCATCAAAAGTATTTGATCGTTATGCAAAGCAGGACCACATTAGACACTGTCTGCCTTATTATCAAAATATTTGTTATCATACTTAGGGTTGTCATATATTTGTCCTCTTAGGACAATGTCTCCAGAGATCACTGTCTCATGTATATCTCACCTGTTGTATCTCCCCTTTCACCTTAGACATCGATGAATGCTCCTTTGAGAGAACATGTGACCACATCTGCGTCAACTACCCTGGCAGCTTTGAGTGTCTTTGCCACAAGGGCCACATCCTGTACGGCCTCACTCACTGTGGAGGTGAGAGGCCGCTCAAACGCGTCACCGCCGCTGCACACCGACTCACCCGTTTGACTCAGCCGTGTGTGTGTGTGTGAGTCTGTGTGTGTAATGTGTTCCTGGTCTGTCTGCTGGTCACACACCTGTTGCTCAGTACAGTTGTGTGTGTTCTGGTCTTACTACTGAGGTCACCGATGGAAAGGTGGCGCAAGCGTCACAGCAGCTGACACATAAACTCAACACACTCAACAATCCTATGGGTACACCCGGGACTGGAAGGCAGTCAATTACAGGGCTGACACAGAGACACACATTCACTCCCACATTTATGGGCAATTTAGAGTCACCAAGTGACCTGATCCCCAGAGCATGCAGTGTGGGAGGAAGCCAGAGAACCCGGGAAGAACCCTCACAGACACACAGCGAACATGCAGACTCAGACATGCAGACCCACACAGAAAGGCCTCCGTGGGCTGTGCTGCCCCTAAAGACAGTAAAGTAACCTCTTTCTAATTGTTTTTTGCTCCTGTTTTTATTACTGAAAAGGTTTTTGCATGATGTAATTATTATCTTCTACCAGGATGATTTGTGTTTGACTTTTTTTAAACATGAATGTTTTTAGTTTAAACCATTACAGTAAATCATTTTTTTTCTTGTTTTGACATGAAGTTGAAGCAACCCCCCATTTTTTTCTAAAATCAAATAAAACACTATATATATATATATATATATATATATATATATATATATAGTATGTTAGTTTATGCTATTTATTACTTTACCAATGTTCCTCACATGTCTGTCATTCACTTTTTTTCCTCCCCGTCATGTCTTATGATTGTTAGTACAACCTCTTAGGATTTATACACACATTGACCATAACGCTTCCTGCTGTTGTGCTTCAGACATTGATGAGTGCAGCATCAGCAACGGAAGCTGCGAGTACGGCTGCATAAACACTCAGGGGGGCTATGAGTGTGTTTGTCCGCCTGGACAGAAGCTCCACTGGAACAAGAAAGATTGCATTGGTAGGCACCAGCTCTGTGTGTGTGTGTTTGTGTCTGCCTTTTTGCAGGCATAGTGGATTCCTCGAGTAAGGCCGAGTGGCCAAGTGCACATGTGTGTGTTCAGGTGGTTGTCGTGGTGATGTGACTCTTTGTATTCCTCAGAGGCGGTGAAGTGTCTGCCTAATGGGAAGCCAGCACTGCGAGCCCAGCTGACTTGCACCAAGAGCGTAGGGGCAGAGGTCTGCTCGCTCTCCTGCCCTTCCAACGCCCTCTTCCTCGCAGGTACAAGGGCACACGCACACATACACGCATAGTTTATGCCCAAACAGTTCATGTTATTACTCAATAAGATCAAATGCAATGTGTTAACACAGCTTTCATATTTTCCCAAGCTAGATTTACAGTATAAACCATTATTAGTGCTGACACAACTAAACATTGAATTGTAAGTGATTGATGGGAATAATTTATGGAAAAATGTACCAGCGACAGCTTTAGAATTCAGCTGCATCATTCAATGCTTACCAAGTACGAGATTTAATATCTTCAGCTCTTATCTAGATAATACAGCCTCAGCACATCTCTTGAATCTTCTTTCTTCCATCCATATCTCAATTTAATTGATGTATTAAAAATGAATATATTAATAAAGGAAAGCAATCTTTTTTTTTTTCATAGTATTTTTCACATTTGGGACCTTGATGTCAGGATCCGGATAGGTATTCTATAACAGTAGGTGGAAGCGGTCAGGGTGTAAAGGAGATTACATTAGATATAAAAACAAAGATGAGTATCTGAATATTTTGGAGTTCTCTTTATCTATGTAACTTCATCAAAGAAATACTGTGGTTTCCATTCTATGAATCAGGAAAGTCACATAGTGGCGTTTAAATTGGAGAGCCAGCAGATGAAATATATTCTGCTGCTGAAATTCCTTCTAAAACGGCCGTTGTTTCCTTCACATGCTGCTTCCCTCTGGTGGTGATGGCTCACACTTGCGGCTTCACCATCCTTCCGTCTAGATGTCACAATGCTCGATGGGGGCGCTCGCCCTCTTTGTCCCTGTATGTGTTGCATCCTCGGGGGGCTCTCAATTCAGACTGATGTGTTTTTCTCACCGCAAGGTCCTCTTGGTCTCTCTTGTTGGCGGGCAGCCCCGGTCTATCCTCCTGCCATTGTACTTAACAGACATCTGCTAATTGATTACATTCTTTAATGCAGCCTGCTTTTTTCCGCGGCGAGGCCTTTGCTCCGTTTAACTTGGCCGGCGCGGTGTGAGAATGAAGGATAGCTATCAGGCACCCAGTGAAATATTTGTTTTTCTCTCTTTTTGGAGAGCGTCTTAAGTTCAGAGGGAGAGAGCCATGTAAATTCCTGTGGCTTTATTCAGCTGTGGCTCTTATTTAGTCATCTCGCTTTTATGATTTCATCCCTCATTCCTCACTGGAAAAGTGTCTTTTTGTGTTTGTGCGCATGAAGATAGAAAAAAGGATTCATAGATCTTTCATCTAGTTTAGTCAATAAAGTTCTTATTAATCCTCAGAACCGTGCGTGTTCAGCCCATCGCCAAGGGCAAAACTCATACAACTCCAACGTGGGATGGAATGTGAGGTCCAGGTCACATATTCCTCTCTGCCTCCCTAAGCTCTCATCGCCATGTCTGATGTGTCTTCTCACGCTGCAGTCTGTGTGTGTGTGTTTCCCAACAGACTCGGAGAACAGCTACACGCTGAGCTGCGGAGTGCCCGTCCAGCTTGGGAAAGCTCCCCAGAAGAGAAACGCCACCACGGCCTTACCCACCTGTGCCGGTATGGAAGGCCTGAGGAATTCCTCATAGAGTGACGATAATATGATCTTAAGTATACATGTAATGAGCAAAACATTCAAAGGTGATAAACCTGTTCCTGGTAAACAACAAGTATATAATAAATGATAAAATAACAATAATAATATGTACATAACAGTAATAGGTACAAACAGGTGAGTTGGGTTAGTCATGTAGCAATATACACCCTTATACACCCTTTTTCACAACAATCTCTGAACAAACACAAGAATTGTTCCATTGCAGCCGGAATGGGTTTTACGGTTCACTGATGGCGAAAGATGGCTAAACATGAACCTCAGTCTAGAAATCCTTCCACTGTCAGTCTGACAACGAGATCCCCATCAAAGTTCAGAGCAGGGTTTGTAGTCTAATTTCTGGGGTACAACACAGATATCGGATGATGAATGAATTAACAATTTTGCTAAAAAAGCTAATATATTGTCGGACACCAGCTTAGGATCTTTAGGTCACCACATGTACTAATTAAAACACACTGCGCATTATTTGGGACTCAGAGGTCCCACTGGGCCTTATTAGGGAGAGGGCCTTAAAGAAACAGAAGCTAAAACGGAGCGTTTTAGTGCAGAGGATGATCACAGGTATGAGAAAAAGTAGGTGTTTTTGTAACGCATGTAAACATTTTGTTGTAGAAAACACAAAATACAATTTAGAACCTGAAAATGATATCATATGTTCACTTCAATGGGGAATAAAATGTCATATTGCATAAGCAATTGAGAAAGGGTAAAGGATAATACAAATGTAGACTTGACACACCTGTAGTCATGAAGATTAACAGCCTTTTGCTTCTGATGTGTATGAATCCAGACACGCTGGCCCCGCCCATCAAACAGAAGGCCCGGTTTAAGATCAAAGATGCCAAGTGTCACCTGAGACCCCGCAACAAGGAGAAACACAGAGAATCATCCAGGCAGAGCCTACAAGGTACACCGATTCTACTTTGCTACCAAGTGTTTTACACACACTGTCATTCATTTTCTAAAAAACAGATTCTTCCTCTCAGGAGGCCAGTTCCCCTGCACCGACGACTGCCATGTAACTTTTGTTAACCTCAAGTGCGACTCGTCTAAGAAGCGACGACGAGGACGCAAATCTCCCTCGAAAGAGGTTTCCCACATAACGGCCGAGTTTGAGATGGAGATGAAGGAGGAGGAAGCCTCAGGTGGGATGTTTGACCTGTTTACCTGAATAATCTCTTACCTGTTTGGTTTTTCTTTACTTGGAATAAAACAATATACATTCATTTGGCACAAAGAGAATCACGCATAACATGTTATGTGATTCATCAATCAATTGGTCAGTTTGTTTTTTGGTGAACACCAATGTTTGCCTCAGACTTATGCAATGTGGACTGCGTACGGGAAAGGATGAAGCAGAAGCTGCAGAGCGCCATGCGAACGCTCAGGAAGTCCATCAACAAGCAGCAGTTCTACATCCAGTTCTCTGGGACGGAGTACGAGGTGGCCCAGAAACCGTCCCGGGTACTGGAAGGAGCCGAGGCTTGCAGCACGGGGACAAGTCCTCCGAGACGGCAAGTGTGGTGAGTCTGCAGTTTGGCTAGTTGAGTGAGTGGCCTGTCCGATGAGGAAGATCACCGAAGGTATTTCTACAAACCTTCTCCTCAGTGAGCTGCAGCTTGGGGACGTTCTACAGCGGGGAGCAGCAGCAGTGTGTCCAGTGCCCCACCGGGACCTACCAGGACACGGGGGGTCAGCTGTCCTGTGAGCCGTGTCCCAGTACTGAAGGACAGGGAATTGCCGGAGCCAGGAACGTGTCTCAGTGTGGAGGTAACTCATCATGCCATCATCACAATCATTTTAAAAACTCAGATCTTTTATTCTTCCTTCAACCGTACTGAAATTATTTCTCTATTAATAATCATATAAAGCAGCAGGGGATTCTTCAAATTGGGTCTACAGCCCATTGTAGGTTATTAGATGTTTATACTGACTTTTGTTTCCCTCTTTAATCTCTTTTATTGCTGGATTTTTTACTAATTTGAATTCATTTAAAACTACAGAACTGCTGTGCATGTGCAATAAAAGGAGTATTCTCTCCATGGACAACACATGCTCATTGGATGTAAAAAGATGTTGCGTTGGCCCCACCCAGTGGCTGTTCATGCACTGTGAACATGGGCTGTAGCCACAAGAGAGCGCCACAGACCATGTTGGTGTGTTCAGTGACAGAGCTGAAATGAAGAAATTAACTCATAAGAAACTCTCGGAAATTGTTCAGTTCCCATATTCATGCTGTGTCTTAAAGGGACGTAAAGCTCTCAGGTACATTAGCAGAGGAAAAGAGAGAATAAGAACTTTCTTGTTTCTGTCACTCAGGCCAGTGTCCAGCGGGCCACTTCTCCGCCGACGGGTTCCATCCATGCCAGCCCTGTCAGCTGGGCTCCTACCAGACAGAACCAGGCCGTGTCCTTTGCTTCCTCTGCGGAGGAGGTCTCATGACCAAGTATGAGGGATCAGTGTCCTTCAGGGACTGTGAGGCCAAAGGTGAGGCTTTGTGTCCGATGTTATGACACAATGTGTATTGTGTGCATCTTAATATGCACATCTGTACACAGTTTGGCTGCTTCATCTTTCTTCTACAGTATCCAATACTGGGCCAAGTTTATTTAAATTCATATTTACTCAGTTTATTCAGAGTGCCTTGTCAAAACCTGGAAATACCAAAGAAATGGAATCTGCCTTTGTTTTCCCAATGTTTAAAAGTGATCACCCAGCTATTTTAAATAACTTAAATTTATTTGTACTCACTAAAATTCTTGAAGCTCTAGGGAGGTCTTATACACCAATGCTAATTCATCAACCTATCAACAGACCTAAAGACAGTAAAAACACAAAGCTATTTTACACTTGCACTAAAAGTGGTAAATGACATTTCTGTTGCTCTTGACAAGAGGCAACATTATGCGTCACTATTTATTTATCTGTCTGGAGCATTTGACACAGTTGAGGTTTTAACGCTCAACTCAGGGCTCTCAGAGCAAGCAGTCGCTTGGTTCACGAGATACCTTAAGGATCTCAGTGCATCCGATATGACGGTCTATCCTCTGATATTGCAACCCTCTGCAAAGGTGTGCCACAAGGCTCTGTATTAGATCAACTGTTTCTTATAAATCATTTGGGCCAAAATATGTTGGACGCTAACTTTTACTTCTATACTATTGACACTGTGATATAATCCTGGGCGTCAACATTTGTGCAGGCAATAGATCAAAATGCTTTTGTTGTTCAAAATAGCCTTTTTCAATTGAGACTCATTCTAAATATGGATAAGACAAAACTTATGTTGTTTTCAAACTATCAGAGTAGGCCACAGAATATCCCCTCGTTGGTCAATTTTATGTAGGGCGCCACATACAGTCTAATGATGGTCCACTGATACCACTTACTGCTTTTCAATCTAAAATGAAAGAAATAAAGGCAGGTTCCCAAAAATGTCAATGTTTATTAAATTAACCCCTCTTTAACTTTTTGTTCTTATTCAGTTTTCTATCTGTAACTATGTGTGTCTGTGTTGCTGCCTGTCTTGACCAGGTCTCTCCTGTACACAACTTTTTATCTGTAACTGGCAAGGATTAAAAAACTGAGCATACCAGTGTATGATATGTGACAGGACAGTAATCCATTTTAAGTCTTGTTAGCAAGGACCGAAGCGCCACTCCGTTCTGGTTTGGACAGAAACATCTTAGCAAGTGCAAAGTAGATGTCATTTTTAACCACGATTAATTGAACCCATGAAGACACATTCACGTTCCCCTCAGATCTGAGACCAAGTTATCCCCTTACTTTTCAGTGTTTCCCCTACCATTTCATAATGGGGCCGGGGCTACCGTTCTCTCCAAGGAAATCTCTTTTTCCTTTCCTTACGTTTACGTTTATGGGGACAAACGCATACATGAGCATGTAAAGATAGTGGTGGGGGTTCATATGCAACGTATGTACCCCCACCCTTATCTCCACTGTGATTTTGGGCGACTGTGGGGGAGTGGAGAGGGCGGTTGTCTTCCAATCAGAGGGGTCTCGGTTCGATCCCAGGGCTGGCTAACCCGCATGTGTCCTTGGGCAAGACACTTAACCAAACATTGCTCCTATAGCTGCAACTGCAGTGTGTGAATGTTAGTTACTGATGGGCAGGTGGCTCTGTAGCTCCTGTCATCAGTGTGTAAATGGGTGAATGATGTCATGTAGTGTTAAAGTGCTTTGAGTGGTCGGCTAGTGGAAAGGTGCTATACAAGTACAGTCCATTTACCATTTTTCGTTTGCATTGATACAAACCATTTGTCAACAGTTTTATTGCACAGCTGAGTGATGTGTCTGGGATGGAACCTTTGCGTTTAACCTGTATGCCTCCTGTTACTCCTCAGTGCACTGCGCTCCTGGACATTACTACAACTCCACTACCCACCGCTGTATCCGCTGCCCAGGGGGAACCTACCAGTCGGAGTTTGGGCAGAACTACTGCATCACTTGCCCGGGAAACACAACCACTGACTTTGATGGAGCCACCAACGTCTCCCACTGCAAAAGTAACACTGCTCAACATATACATTCAGCCATCATTTTTCGGAAAATGGCGCTGTTGTATGGAAAGAAGGTATATTGCTAAGCGTCTCAGTTGTTTTGCCCTCAGACCAGCTGTGTGGAGGTGAGCTGGGAGAATATACAGGCTACATAGAGTCTCCCAACTACCCTGGAGATTACCCATCCAACGTGGACTGTGTCTGGACCATCAACCCACCCCACAAGCGGCGGATTCTTATCGTGGTACCAGAGATTTTCCTCCCCATCGAGGATGAGTGCGGGGACGTGCTAGTCATGAGAAAGAGCGGTAAAGAAACAAGTCATGATTATTTTAAGGCAAACATAACTGATCAGATGAATGAGTTGCATTTTCCTAGTCTGCATGTCACTCAGTTAGTTCAAAACATGTTCGTTGCCAGGTGGCAGGGTTGGCCATAGAGAGTCAGTCAGGTAGTGAAGTGGGTTGGTCAGTTAGTAAGGTGGTTCAATCATGTGGTATAGTGGGTTGTTCAGTTCAGGTCAGGTTCTCAAAGGTCAAAACAATTAACAAAAAACCCAACTAACTGGAAAATAGTTTAGTTTACCTATCGAGATAAAGATAAACAATACTGAAACCCCTACCTATATACCATACAGGAGAAAACAAGGATTTTCAAACAAATTGCAGAGAACCCTTACAAAACCTCTCCAGTATCTGCCTGAGCTGCATGAGGGCACGCCTCACACAGCAGCAGCAAACACAAAGGAGCCTCTTTGTGAACTGTGTTCCTCATCTTAAAGGTGAGAGATGCCTTCTCAAAGGGTAGAAGTACACAGGCCCCTACCCTTGGGTTTACTACACGTCTAACCAACAAGCAGACTGAACTTTCTCATGGGGCTTTCAGTGATATATTTTGGTTCTGCATTGTTTTCCTGTGAAAATAAACTGAACTCAGCTCCTGAATGTGTAACAACATCCTTTGTCCTGTTGAATCACAAGTGTAGAAGTACTATTCTAACATGTTTCCATTCTTCCAGCCCTTCCCACATCCATCACTACCTATGAGACGTGTCAGACCTATGAGCGGCCAATCGCCTTCACCTCTAGATCTCGAAAGCTCTGGATTCAGTTTAAGTCCAACGAGGGAAACAGCGGCAAAGGCTTCCAAGTTCCGTACGTTACCTACGATGGTGAGTCAACTTTAAAAGCACAAACACTCGCGTTGGATTAAATCTCACGGACAATCATAAGTTTTGTACTGCCTTCTACTTCCACGGTATATACTTACATATAAAAGCTGTTGTGTTCCAGAGGACTACCAGCAGCTGATAGAGGACATTGTGCGAGATGGCAGGCTCTATGCCTCCGAGAACCACCAGGAGATACTGAAGGTACACACATCAGCGGGCCTTTTAACTCACCTCACATGATTGGTCTAGTGGGGTGACTCTCTGTCTGTCTGTCCTCCCTACAGGACAAGAAGCTAATAAAGGCCCTGTTTGACGTGCTGGCCCACCCCCAGAACTACTTCAGGTATACGGCACAGGAGTCCAAAGAGATGTTTCCCCGCTCCTTCATCAAGCTGCTGCGCTCCAAAGTCACAAGGTTCCTGAGGCCGTACAAATAGACTGAGACCCTTCCCTTTTCTGTTAAAGCTCCTCGTCATTCCAAACCCATTTACCTAAATGGTCCCTCCCCCTTTCCCTGTTTATTTTTCTCAGCCTGGATCAATGCGTTAATGTACCCGTTCTATTACTAATCTTCATTTTGTCGTTTTTTTCCTCGATGTAGTCACATGATGCCTTTCCTCATCTTTAGCCCATTTAATCAGCTTAACACACTATTCACTGACACCTTTCACTCCACTCTTTAAATCAGTATGCTGGCATGGCGACGCACCAGCGTCAACTAATGCAGTTCACGCCAAAATGTTGGTCTCCAGTGAATGCTTCGGGGTAAAACAATCCCTCAGAAAATTGGTTTCAGTGAAAATGTCTGGCTGACGATGGAAACGACGTGTGACATCTCAAATATTCTCTGATATCAGGCAAACCTTTCATGTATGGTTTGACCTGTATGGGTTTTTGCAGGCCGGTATTAATATTTTTATAACGTAGCATAAGAAGATATATATTAGTGTGTATATATTGTTTCTTTAATTTGACCTTTTTCTTAGTTTTGGTATTATGGCATTTCAGTTAAGGTTTTAATTGTTGTTGCAAGTTGTAATTGAATATTGAATACAAAATGAGTATCTTTCAACAAAATCCAAAGAATATATATAAAGCACATTGTCAGACAAACATTCGCAAACATTCACTTCATTTGTCTGAGTCCAGTTAAAGCAACACATTGTCACTGAGGATAAACAATCTTTAAGCATTTGAAAGGAAACCTGTATTTTCAGATGATATAATGGCTATTATAGTTCCCCAACACATTTGTTAGCGACCAGCTGAAAAGCTGAATCAGGCAGATTGATACCACTCTCATGTCTGTATGTTAAATATGAAGCAACAGACATCTTAGCGTAGCATAAAGACTGTACACAGAGGGAAACTAAATCTGCTCACCAGCTGAAGGTCAGTAATTAACATGTAGCATATTGTGTAATTAATCGGGACCACTTGGTCCTTACTGGCACACAAAAGAAATTGTTACTTTCTACCTTCTACAGAGTCAGGCTAACCACTTCCTCTCGTTTTAATGTCAAGCTAAGCTGAGCTAGTGCTGGATATTGTCATGAAGTGGTATTTGGTGAAAGTGATCGTTCAGCACCTCATTTTGTTCAGCAACTTTCTGCTCAAGTTCCCAACATTCCTCAGACTTCCTTTATCAACAATAACTCCTCTCACGTTATTCCGCTCTGCTCGGTTTTCTGTGTTGTTGCTGTTGTTTTTGTTTTTCTATTTATACTGAACATGTCAGAACTTGCAGAGGCCCAAATCACAGCTTTACACCGCACAGGTGTGCAGGATGTGTGCGTTTGTTTGGACACGGGTGTACGTGCGCATTGTGTTGAGACATATCGGCCCATATAGTGTACATGGATGTATTCTGAATTTGGATGTCGTCATTGGTCGCGATGTGCAAGAGACAGGGATGAGAAAAACAATCGGTGCACTTAAAACCTATTTTTAAAACGTAGATGATTTGAAAGAAATGTGAAAAGTGGAGAAATCATTCCACCTTCAGAGGGCGGAGATCAAATGGGGTGAATCGGAAAGTCTATATTGTAATTTTTTTAAATAAAAAAAAGAAGATATATAACAAGATGAGATAAACTACCTGCAAGAGACAGCTTATTACTTTAGAAAGAAATGTATGTGATGTAACTAATATTTGGAATTTTAATTGCACTTGAATTTTATATTGTAAACTATAGAAAAAAAATAAGATCTAAGTTACGTATTTGTTACTTTTTTTGTGTGTGTTGTTTTCAAATGTAGAGAGAGAAAGACAGCTGTGTCTCGCGCACTCTGTAGCTTGCTGTGATCCCACTTTCTCTCATTAACAGTAGAGCTTCAAGTCTCGTTCACACACACAGTGAGAAACAACCTTTCTGTTAAAGCTTCAGCATCTCGTACATTAAACTAATGAAAAACTGTGTCGGCAATGGATCACTCAAATCGTCCTGCTAGTCCTGCTTCTCCCATCCATGTCGTACAGCTGCCAGAGAGAAGAAGCATCTTTATTAAAGCTTCTTATATGATGGCACTACTTAAATACAGACACTATATGTCTGTTTCTAAAAACAAATACAATATACGCATCTACCCAGATAGAAAGTTAATAGAAAGTCGCTTTCTATTAAACGGGAATTACAGTTTGTATGCTGTGTTCTACCGTTATAACCCAACTAAATGTTTCTGTGTCATTTCCGATACTACTAATATGTCTATGAAATTGTTAACCATGTATTGGAGGGGCTCTGAATCTGCACATTGCGACTGGAGTTGGGAATCATATATGTGTTATGACTGGGGCGTCGGTGTGGAGGTGAATGTAGAGATAAGAGGCAAATCCTCTCAATGTCCGTAGCACTCTCAGCAAGTCAACCAGTGGTAGACCAGTGAACGTTATCTGTGTGCTGTGTCGCTCATTAAGAAGCAGGCTTTGGCTGAAAGATGAAACTTAACCGACCAGCAGGAACATCACAGTGTGTCAAGTCAAAGCTTAGTTATTAAACATTAAGCCCATTTACTACAAGTCTTTGATATTTTATTTAGTCTTTTTTTAAACTTGCTACTCTGCCCCTGGTTTCAGTTTCACTTAATTAATTAATTTGGTTAATAAATAAGCATTAACTCCAGATTTTGCACAAGACAATAGCAGTCTCCTGGGTGAAAGCCCATTGTTTATTTGACCCATCCAACACTCCCTTTGTTTCCAATTGATATTTTTATTTTTCACTCTTAAGACTAGTTAATATACCATCCAACTCTCAACAACAGTTGCAAGGATTCAACATCACTTGCGCTTAACAGATGCAAAAAAATTTCAAAAGGCTTTGGCATTCAACTTTTTTGGAGAAATGATGCCAACATTTCCTTGGGGACTATTTGGGATCAACAACATCTGCTTAGATTTAAACAAAAAGTTGGTTAGGGCCAGCCTTTTCTTTTTATTTCCTTGGTGCACCAAATTGAAACCACTGAGACAGGAAGCTAAATTAAAAAATGTTATGTCAAATATCTCCAATAGATGGTCTTAAGGTCGCAAAACCACAAGTATGGTCCTGCATGGCAATTAGCCAATCAAAATCCCCCCTTGAATCAATGAATCTCTCTAGCAATAACCTCAAATGTCAGTGGGGTCACACGATCATCACATAGGTTCCCCAGATAAAAGCATACGGTTGTTCCAGGCGCAAAGTTCCAGGCCTTGCCAAATAACTGCCACACAAACAAGTCATGGTACGGCCGACTTCCCGTCTGAGGTGGGCACTGTTCAAACTGAGTGTTATTGAAAAAATGAAATGAAATGCTCTAAAGTGTATAATTGACTGTTGTTGTTTTCTTCTTCCTCAGAATGTATTCTATTGTGAATGGGTGGCTGCATGTTGTGTGTGTGTTTGTACGGGTGTTTGAGAGAGACGTTTGGTGAATCAATGTGTGCAGTAAGTGTGTTTTCTGTGTGTATGATAGTTTTTGTGCTGGGCGCCTGTGACAGAGTAAGAAACTTTGTGTGTCTGTGTGTACTTTAGTCCAATTTTTAGAGGAATAATTTTAACGTCTGTGTTAGTCGGTTGTACCCAAAGAGAGAAACTGTAACGCAGTGTTGTGCCATTATTTGGACCATGAAACTCCAATACTGAACAAATTTAAATAAAAGAGTAGGAGAAAACCGGCTTGGCTTGCGTCTTCTGTGTGTCCCTGTAGATTGTAGAGCAGTGCGGAGCCTAAGAGAGGCTCGTATCTATTCATATCTCCTATCTTTCCTCAGATGTGGCTCTGTGTGGCGTCTCACACATACAACTAGTTCCGTAAGTACGCTTACGGAAAATTTTGCTGATGCTGCTGATGCTGCTAATGTTGCGCTTATCTCAGAGCGACACAATCAGCAGCAGATCTTGTTGCTGCATCGGAAACACTCATCATCCAAACTGGAAGGATTTGATTTTCTACCCATTGACGATGTCTTTCTTTGTCCTGGTGAGCAGAGAAGTGAGAAAACCTGTTTAAAACAACCCCCCTCCCTCCCAGCGGCGGCTGGTGGAATTTTTCTGGAGGCAAGCCAATCAGTTTCAGTAAACATCCCAGTATGATTCACCGCAAAAGAGCTGTCAAATACGCATTATTACTTTGCAGTTAAATATCTAACAAATAAATATATATTGATGCACCTATAAACCTAATTTGTTGGGGAAACACCCAATCAGTGTGTTGAGGAAAGACCAACTCAAAAGCCCCACAAAACTTCACTCAATCAATTATTTTGGATAAAATGTCCCTGTTTTCATCCACGTCCTCGTTGTGTTTCCTCACCGCAGTCCTAATTCCGTCGCAGCTGGGTAGCGATGTTAACTCTATTAGTTTATCACTGTGATCAAGCCAGCCTCCACTTGCCTGCATATTATTTTGCAGTACGTGTGTATACTAGAGATTACGGTAGTGGCGTTATCCTTGTGTTTCCTGGTGTTCTCTATCGTTTTCTTTTTTTCCCGATAAGTCGTTCCTTACTCACGTATCTGTCCATACTGGATTCTGTCCCCGTTGATTTAAAAAGTGACCATGGGAAGTTAAACACGGCGTTAGCACGTAACTAACTAGCTAGTTAAACCTCCCGTGTGTATCAGTCTCTACAGAAGCTGAGTATGTGCGGCCTCCCTGTCACGCCAGTCCGTTGTCTGATTGTGAGGTCAGGCTGATCTGGGTCCAATTGTTTTACCTTTAGTTTTCCCGGTAAAGTTGTTCTCTCAAACGGATCTCAGATGAGAGAATGTACCGGGCTGGAGAAGGGCTAGCCCAAATCTGAATGTATTTTAGGATGCTGAAATTATATGTCATTCATTTATCTTTAATCAGTGATTGGGTAAACTCCTTCGTAGACCCGCCCAGCTGAGACATGCATACCTTCAGTGAGGACGTGCAGGAAAAGCACAGATATCTTATTATCTTATTTAGATGTTAGATATCCTAATATTATTACTGGGTATATTCCATGTTTCAATAACCCAAATACACAAATATTGACTATTTGTAAAATCATAATCCATACATACATTCATACACTGATATCAAATATCAACCTACCTCACATTCATACTGTCCACACACTTTAGTCCCAGCTGTGGGAGAGATGATGGGGTTACGTGTCTTGACTTGGGGACATCAACATGGGTAAGTGGAGCTGGGAATCCATCAGCAATGCTCCGATTGAAGGACAACCCTGTTGTCCACCGAACCACAGGTGGCCATATGTTATGACATACTAAGCAATTACTTATTCAAAACGTAGTATAAGATGCAACAGTTATGATGCTTTTATGACAAACAAAATCATCATTTTTTATGACATTTTTTTATGAAACTGTTGTATTTCATGGAATGGAATTTCAATGGAATTGTTTTTTGTTCCAGGAGTGGGTCGGTGAGGGTATTTGGGTGGGAAAGGACAAATCGTTCAAAAGAATTTATGACCACATAGGTCAAGGCCTACAAACCTTGGCTTTTTGGGGAGGGGGATGATGGTGGAGGCCTTGAAGCAGGCTTCATTTAACATCTAATGAATTGCATTAACATGAATTGCAGAATAATCTGTTTATTTACCTTAATGTAATTGCTTAACTGACAGAGCCAACCTGTAATGATGGAGTTCCCGGCCTGTTTTATTGTTCAGTCCTCACCAGCCTTGCTGTTGGTCATTAATCATATTCAGGCAGATCTGATCTTTCCTACATGTTCTTTCCAGGACCTCCAATCAGCAGCAGGCATCGGCAGGCAAATGCAACCGTGACAGATGCTCAGATTACTCTCCCTTTGCTATCTTGTTGAATTTCTTCCATCAGGCGTTCTACTTAAAGTTCATTGGATATGAAGCGATAAATACCGATTGAGTGACAAGAGAGTGACGAAACGGCTGTTTGGTCTGATTACCGATTGAATTTGGAGCATAGGGCAGCAAATTATATGATACATTTTACAAACTTGGCAAAATGCGACGTGTTTTGTTTACTAATGGTTTTGTATCAGAGAGCAAGGATAGTAACTCACTGATTGATCTGCAGCCTTTATGAATGCAAACATGACATAATTAGCAAATAAAAAAGGTGGTCAGCCGAAACAAGGCATACATCTAACTTAAGATGATTGACGGAAAAAAAGGCTGTTAAATCTTTGGATAATGGTTTGCAAGAGCTCAGCTGCCAGGGCTAATACCTCATTACCACACTTCTATCAACACCATTATAAGACCACAGACATGTCTTAAAATTAAGTACAAAATGAAAGTACAATGTGAGATATGACGACCAACTAAAAACTCAGTACAATCAAATTAGTTAAAGGACAGTGTATAAGTTTTTCAAGCCCACTTAACAGAATACACAGTGGACATTCAATTTTGTCCAGGTCATATCTCTGAGAGAAATCCCTTTCCAATAGCCTGAGGAACAGCAAGCGAAAACATTCCTGACCAAATATTGTAAATACATATTTTGCCTTGAGAAATGTCCATGCATCATATCTTAACATGAAAGTTGGTAGGACAACTTGGGATCAAAACTGCTGCTGCGTGGAACCTGTTTTACACAACAAAACTACTTTGTTAGGTTTCGAAAATGTTTGTGCTATGTTGGATGTGTAACTGAGAAACCAGACAGGGAAGTTAGTTCAGTGGTAAGCTACATAGTTAATAACAAGTACGGTAAATTAGGAAAAGTTGACTTTTGGTGTGTCATAGGACATGGGGAAAGTCGGGTGCTCTAGCTTTGTCGCTCTTCATCTGCGTCACCTGACTCCCTCAGCGGCGGCCCGCTGACGATTAACCTGAGAAAAGTAAGAAAGACTGAAAAGTCAGAATGATGTATCTTAGATGCTTAGAACTGGTGTCGTGGGGAATTCAGCTGAAATCAGCCAGTGGATCATAATTCATGGACATTCAAACATACATGGCCAGCAGATGGCAATCTCACTCCAGCCTGAGAGTGGAGGCTTCCACCTGAACTTGGCTGTTTATGGATGCATGGGTTGGAACTGCAGATCTTTGTGTATCTGTTTATCTCATTACCAACCTAAACCCCAGTCCAATTACCTGTAGATAAACACTAGCAGAGGTGGAGGGACAGAGTAATGCTGTAATTGGACTGATCAAGCCTTACCATGCCCAATTGTTTTCCTAATCAAAAACAATATATATTACTGAAAAAAGCATCAGGTACAATTTGGACATACTGCTTTTTTAAAATTGTTGTTTTTGTTTAGTCAGGGAACCTTATTCCCCTTGAGTTGTTACCGGTTCGATCAGTGGTACAAATTTCAGATTGAAATTGACCTTTACACGCAGGACAGATAAAGTTACAGTGGAGTCCGGAACGCCGATGATGACTTGCACTGATTTGAGTCAGCCAGGGTCGCTTTTGAATGAAATGATTCAAATCGACCTATTGGGCTGTGTTAGAGGGTCTTTTGTTAATGTACCTCCTCATGACATTAGGCCTTTCTTCTTCTTATTGGCGAGCCGGATGATCGCAGGAAGGTTGCTCTGCACCCTGTAGGGCAGGGGTGTCACTTTTTGGCTCGCGAGCTACTTTTGAATCGACAAGTCATGGAGATCCTTCCCAGTCGGTTAGCCTGAATACTAAATAAATAATAATATCGAGTAGCGGTAACCAAACGGAACAACAGCGATGTGTGAGCGCAAAACGAATCGATATAAATATAACAACGAGCCTTTCGTCTGTCAGAAGCGAGGGAACATCACAGCCATTACACACATTCTTTACCAGATGACTTGTACCGACTGGTGTCATCCTCGGTTGCTTTTGAATTAAATTAAATGTGTCCATTAGTAAGCAAGGATTGCGCATGAGCATCACTTTCCATTAGCTCCGTGCATGCATGACGTGACCCAACACATTTTTTTTAATGGTGTTCCATTGTGGCAGTTGTCCTTTTCACATCTTTTTTTTTGCTACCAATAGATTGAGAAATGAGAGAAGAAGCCGATTTCTGCGCCATCTGACTTGTGTTTTAATTAGTAGCGCATCCCTGCACTGATATTATTGGGACAATATAAAAAATGAGCCGATGCTGCTTTGATGATAATCATTTCTCTGTGTTGTGAGATTTCAGAAAAAATAAACAAGTGCGGTACTCAATTACAGTTTTGAAGTACTTGTACTTTACATGAGTATCCTGCGAGTGACTTATTTAATAACACTTAATACTTTTTAAACCACTATACATTCATTCCAGAGTAATTACTCAAAATCAAGAACATTATTGAATATGATACAATGTTATAGACTAAACAATTCAAATATATAATACACTATGAAGGGAGGCTATGTATGAAGTACCTACAACACAATTTTTGCATGTGTTTATAGTAATACTTATAATATTTACAGCCATTTTGCTTTGGATATTTTTTATGGAGTAGCTACCTTCACAAAGGGATTTTACTACTAGTGTATGTTTTAGAATGGAATATAATTGAATAGTCAGTGAAGGCATATCTGCATCACAGCAAAATATTTCTCATGTATTCCCTTAAATCCTGGACACTGGTGGCCCCATCAGAGTAAATGTGACTGGGGATAAGCTCGGTGCAGCGCAGCATCCATCCCTCCTCCCTCCTCTGCTCCTCCTCAACGCAACGCTCACAGAGAAATACGGTGGTGGGAGAGAGAGAGAGAGAGAGAGAGAGAGAGAGAGAGAGAGAGAGAGAGAGAGAGAGAGAGAGAGAGAGAGAAACGCACCGGTGCACCACGGGGTCCACATTCAAACTGACCAGCGCGTGTACCTCAATGAGCGCACGCACCGTCCTCTCTCCACACGCGTCCCTCAGCAGCCTCGTTTCTGCCGATCAGCGGAGCCGGTAGGTTGATTCCTTTTCATCATCTTTTTGGTGCAATTGTGCAGAGGCTTTTTTTTTCATGGATGCGAGACCGCACCAGAGAGCCCGCTAAGCGCTGCGTATTTCCCCACTGGGTCAATGCCCGGGTACCTCCTCACATGCCAGTGACATGTCTGCAGGATTCTGCGGGCGCCTGTATTGGGGCTTTTAATAGACGGCAACGCATTCACGTTAGCAGATATAATGCATTCCGACATGGGAACGCGCTCTCATGTTGGATCGGGTTTCAGCAGCACGGCATCAAAAGTCTCCAAACACGGTACCGGCTGGAGAGGCTCACGGATAGGCAGATGAAGCACACCATGGGACCAAAGTTTTATTATAGTTCACTTAACCAGAGCGCCGGCCAGAGGTTCTAAGAGAGGAGGGAAACTTCTTCACACAGCACGAATGAATTATTTTCAACTGTTTGAGTATATTTCACCAGGCCGTGATTCTTGCGTTTGGAATGGGATAATACAGCAACACATTCAGAAGTACTTTCGTTTTCACTTTGTGTGCATATCTATAAAAGAGCAAATAAATTGCCACACGCTCTACTGTGACGGCTGCCTGATGAATAGGAGAATTTTCCCGAGAGAGAGAGAGAGAGAGAGAGAGCATCAACCAGACAGCCTCCCCTCTCATTCTCCTTTTATTAACCGCTCTGAGCCTTGACAGCATCCAGCATCCAGCAGGACTCTCTCTGGTCTGAGTGGGACACTATGGATGCTGCTGCTGTCATCGTCTGTGTTCCTCCTCTCATCTCTTTACACTGAGAACACAGTGCACAGTTAATACTTTCTAATTCCACTTATAGCATATTGCATGATTCCATGTTTTTGCCAGAGTGAAAAACAAATTCCTGATTTAGAACACAAATGTTTTCATTTCCACTGAGTTCCGACTTAAACTTCAGAGCGCGAACACAGGTGAAAATCTTTGTATCAATATGGTTCATTTAATCAGGAAAAATATGAAATGGATAATGTATTTTTACTTCTTCTTTGTACTGTAAATCCTTGTCTAAACGTTCCATGATAGGATTTTTTAATTCTGTTGTTTCTGGATGGAGGCATAAATTTATCATGTTCTTAAAAGCCTTGACTTGTGACTTTTTACCTCAACTGAGAATGTGGAGAGTCATGTTTTTCTATAGTCTGCAGAACGCTAATGACCGAGCATATATTTAATAATCTCTAGATAAATACAGATGGTACTGTAAACTGTTCATTTGTATTATAGGTACAAGAAGCGTGAATCACTAAGATCATCTGCTTTGTAATGCCACAACTGGGTACAACAGCATACTTAAAAACAACATGTGAAACATGTGATTGTGACAAAGTAAAGTAATACATATAATGTACTTATCAGTCAGATTCAAACGTCTCTTTAAATCCTTAGAGGATTCTAAATTGCGTAAAACTGCAATTACAAAAGGGTTCATTATGGTTCACATATACATGTGTTGCGACAGAAAGGCTCCTCTCATATTATATATATATATATATATATATATATATATATATATATATATATATATATATATATTAAAGGAGGCATAAACACCACACAAAATATTCAAAATTACCATAAAGAGGCAGAATAAACATTTAGGAATGCACAAAACAAAAAGATGCAAAATAACAAGAAATAGATGTAAAACGAACCACCGAGAGGTCCGAAAAACAACATTCAGTCATCCTGCGTGGTGCGCCTGATCCATGTGTTACAATCCTGCAGCATCTGCTAATGCATCTTTCTGTCTCACACTGGCACATGTCATATTCACGACAACAGCAACACGTCTCAATATGCATGCGCAGGCCTGCTTACACACCGACCGGCGTGCAAGCGCAGGACACATAGAACGCACGTAATGTGGGCACTCCTGTAACACATCCGGCGAGCACGCCGGGAGCAGGCGCGCTGTGATATGTGTGAAGTGTGTTTCGGGCATGGCGGTGTGCTGTCAGCGTGTGAGGTTGCAGTGAATGAGGAATCCGAGAAGACGCCCCGACATGGAATTGGCGGCACAGGCCGAATTTGCCGCAAGACGCATGTCCCCAAATTATCACCTCTGTCTCCAGCGAAACATGAAGAAGCAGCGCTCAGGTTTCTGCTCCACATATCTGGAACAATGTCACAGAAAGCTGCAGGTCTGCTGAGACTCAGTGGCTTCAAATTATGACTGAAGACTTTTCTGTTTGCTGCTGCATATTATTGAACCAGATTAAATTTCCTGCATTTCTGCATTTCTCTACTGCATTCTAATATTCCAATTGCAAACTGCACTGCTGAACCTTTTTTTCTTCTATTTTTAGCTTAGTTTATTTTTAATGTCTGTTTTTTAATGTTTCAATCAATGTTCCCAATTGTTTTTAAACGTCCTTTTCTTTTGTTTGTGTTTGATGCTTTTAATGGTTTTACGTGAAGCACTTTGAATTGCCTTGCTGTTGAAATGTACTAACAAGCGTGCCCTAAATCAAGTCGAGTTAGGATATGCCTTTGTCCTTTATAGCCGGTTTCCATCTGCATTTTCTGTCACGCTATTCATGAATAATTGTTTTATCAATTGCAATACAAATACACAAAAAAGGAGCAGATAAAAGAAATATGTCTCACATCTGTCAGTAAGATGTTGTCACGTTTAAGGACTTTGTTGAAGTTGTTTTTGAGCTAAGATGGTTTACTGCTGTCGATGAATAGATCAGTTGAGTTGAATTTGATCATTGATTAGTTCGTATAGTGATTCAATCAAGCAAGCACTCTCTGCACCGCGCCTCTCAAACCTGAGCATTCACTGCTTTTCTCGGTTTTATTTCCTCTTTTGTCTCGGCTTCTCGTTAGGCAAACACGTTCGAGACATCCCCTTGGGCCAAAACAACTTTTTCCAGTCCTCCCACTTTTTCTATGAAAACTTTAAAAAGTTTTCGAAAAAAGATTGACAATTAAATTGAGAATGAACTTGTTCTCCAATATTTAATAAGTTAGTATAGATTTTTTGTGTAGGAATTGTACTATAAAGGGCACCGTATGACAGATGTGACACAAAACAACTAAATAGCATCTAAAGTTATAATCAAAGAAAGCAATATGTGGCTTAAAAGAAAGCTTCTCCTATAACATGCTTTCTTTTTGTTCCCCCACTTCCTGTCTTTACATCAGCTGTGCTCTCTTGCCTCCCCTCTCAGGTGCCTAGGGAGCCGCAGAGAAGAAGAGAAAGAGGAAAAGAGGTAGGATGAGGTGATGTCCTCTCCCCAGCTCACTGTGACTTATTGCTCAGTGAGAGTTTGACCCCTGCAGGACGTCTCACAGCACCCTCTCCCCGGGCCTCGACTATCTGCTCACCATCCAAAAGCAAAAACAGCAAGCAGCTAAAGTTCTTCACCCAATCCGTGGCCCTCCTCCAAACCGTTCTGCTCCGGTACCTTGTGCCATGGCCTTCACCTTGTCTGAGATTATGGCAGCGAGACGGCAGCAGTCGCAGGCTCAGTCCCAAGCCCAGCGAGGCAACAAGACGGCGGTGGAAGTGGATGAATACAGCACAAACCCCACCCAGGCCTTCACCTTCTACAACATCAACCAGGGACGCTTCCAGCCCCCACACGTTCACATGTGAGTAGATAACCAAACCATGTAGGCATCACTTAGACTGCCAACACTTAGACTGTCCCTTAGTGGGCTATGGTCTGCCTCTCTTCTGATCCTTTTCCTGTGCATCCTGGAGATGACTTTTCTTTTGCTCCTTATTCATCTTTTACTTTTGATGATTAAATTCTTATTAACCATCTATTGTTCCATTACTTTAATTAATGTTTTAGGTTTTTCTAAGCGATCATTTCAGTGTCGAGGTCAAATCAAATCAAATGTTGCCACCATACTACATTATCACTTTAACTATAAAGCTAACTGATTTTGTCTGTTTTTTGGATTTCATGCACTAAGAAAAAAAATAATAATGACAATGTTGTATGGATAACTACATACAACATTTATGTAGATATAATTTATACATATAAACAGCAGCATTTCTAAAATGTATTTTTGGGCTTTGCACTTTGTTGATATCTTATTGATTGGTTGTCATGACAACCAAGTTGGGGTTGACAAAATAGACGTAAAAAGAAAAACAATGATCCTCAGACACCATGTTAAGCTAACTTAGCTAATTAGCAAGCTAATGTGCTAAGCTAACGACCATGCTAGCGAGCAAACAATCCTCTTCAGATAATCAAACCCCATTAGTCTACAATATGTTAAAGCACAAGCTCATATTTTGCATTTGCAAAAAAGAGCACTGCTCTGCATCTATCTTTAATACCACTTATACTACAAACAGGGTCGGGCGGGGGGTTGGAGTCAATCCCAGCTAACGCCGGTCGAGAGACGGAGTACACCCTGGATTGGGCGCCAGTCAATCGCAACCGTTGACACCAACACTCCTACTGCCAATTTTACAATCACCAATCAATCACCAATCAACCTAATCAACTTAATCCCCAGAGCATTATTTGGGAGAAGGCCGAGTATGGAGAGAACCCACGCAGACACAAGGAGAACATGTAGACTCCACACAGAAACTACTACTGCTACTGGGTGGAGTTGAACCCAGGACCTTTTTTGCTGTGAGGCAACAGTGCTAACCACCATACCGACCTAGGTTGCTCTATTATTATGAACATATTATTATTATTATGGTAATCAATCACAAGGTTTAGGCCTACTGGCGACTTTTTCTTTCGTGAAGGTTTCTTAACGACTAAGGAGCCTACGAGAGCAAAACTTCTTACAACAGGGGTGGCCACTCAAAAACACTCCTACATCAAATGTAAATTACGGGGAAATAAATCCTGTTTTGGCAGTTGAAAGAGGAGGAGGTGCACAATCACCATATCTACATCTTACAAGTCAGTGGTAGAGTAGTAAAGGTACCTTTTGCTTGATGTGATTGACAGCCGGGGTTAAGTGTGGCATTTATGAGTGACCTCCAGGGCTGTAGTGGAGGGTAAACGCACGTAAACGCCGTTTACGCACCTCTAGAATTTTGTAAATAGCGTTTACGCACCTCTAAGTGGCGTTTACGCACCTCAAAGTTCCCTGCGCCTTGTATTCTTCCGTTGGAATAATCCGAAATAAACTTGGTGTAATTTTAAAACAGCTAAGACTACGTTTCCTATTGTTGAACATATAAACGCCGTAGTCTGAATCATTTTCATCTGCGCTGTATTACGGTCTGTGAGCATCCAATCAGTGCCTTGCGGCTGCAGCAGCGACACCAATCAGGATCCAGGAGGTGTGTAAACACATACACGTTGGATCCGCCCAGTGGTCCCCAACCTTTTTTACCTCACGGACCGGTTTCATGTCAGACAATATTTCGCGGACCGGTCGAGAAGGTCCGAGGGGGGGGGTAGTAGTCGTTGCGGGCGGAACGACCGACGGGGGGGGTAGTAGTCGCGCGCTCTGTGTTCGCCGGTCGTGCACGGTAAAAGGACAAGAAAAACGCCTGGTGACGCGTAGATTAGAAAACAAGTCAGTCTCAATGTAAATAAAAACATGCTGTATAGGCTATTTATGATGACATAGGTAGTACATGAGTGTTCCTTTAACTTATGTTGTCAGTGTAATTGACAGGCTGCTAAACTGGTTAACTCTTAAATTCAACATATTTTTTCAGGCAGTGATAGGACAGGCAATGATGCAGAGAGCACAGGGAGAGGAGAAACACCAGGTCGAATAGAGAGAGGAGAAGCACAGAGGAGCCATGAACCCCAGAACGCGTGTTCTGGGGTTCATGGCTCCTCTGTGCAAGGCAGGACCTGACATGGAGGACAAGGAGGCCCTCTGGGCACTGCTGTAAAAAGGAGACTCCGTATGTAGATAGTTCTTAATCTGCAATTGTGTTGTTGTGTTGTGTTGACATACTTTTTTTTACTGTTTTCTTAAATTTAATAAACTACAAACTACTAACACATTTATTCATTGTCATTGATTGTATATGACTTTTACTGATAACATAATGCAATATAGCCAGGACAGCCTTACAGAGTCGCGACGCTTTGTGTTGCGTTCCTTCGCATCGCGTCGAGGTCTGTATGATCACAAAATTCAGAGTTTACCCACCTCTAATATTACCACTACAGCACTGGTGACATCTATGTGTCTTCGGCTGATAAGTGGCCAAAATGTTTATTTCTATAAGTCGTCTTAAAACTGCTCAAAAAACGCCATGCGCAGTGCAAGAGAGTATCCCAATCCCAAGTTGTGGTATACCAGAGCAAAACAATGTTTTTTGCTGGTGACGTCTGTTGCTGTGATTGGGTCTTATATAAAATAAGACAGGAAGAGAGTCCATAATACCAAGGACATGTCAATGGTCCTCTCTCGGTATTTGTGGTAACACCGCTTCCCAGACTTCCACATGTTCAACGTTAGTTTCAGTTGTAACTTATTACATATTACAAAAAAACCCTGCTATGTTGATGTTCAGAAAGGCCTCTCCACAACGCATAGTTTTGCATTTCTTTACATCCACAAGTATACATTAAACATTCTCCATAAACCCATAGATGTGTTTTATTACTTTGTGAGGGCCTTACGTGGATGCAAACCTCTTTCCCATGTCCATGTCTCTCTCTCTCTCTCTCTCTGAGCGGAAGGAGTGCTGAGTGTGCGGAGCGTGAGGTGAATTGTTTGGATTGTGCTTTCTATCTGGTATTTCGTTTATTTTTCGGTGTGGTTTTCTGGTGTGTGTTGTGGGGTGAATGCGTGTTGGTGTGTATGTGTGACTTTTCTTTCTTTTTATGTTTTTTTGTCTATGTTTGTAGCCGGTCGGCATGTCGGACCTCACGGGGCTGACGCGGAAGCACGGCACGCCGGGCTTCGCGTGCTCCGTGGAGGACTGCGGTCTGGCCGTGGGGGGGTTGGTTGGGCACGGGAGTGTGAAGTCCGCCGCGTGGATGAACCGCGCGGTGGTCATTTTTGTAGATAGTGTGGAGAAGGCGCGCGAGGTGGTGGCGAGCGGCGTGGTGGTCCGCGGGGCGCACGTGCCCGTTTTTCCGCTCGCGGTGCCGGCCGTCAGGGTGACGGTGGCGAACGTTCTGCCGTTCGTCCCTGACGGAGTGCTGCTGGAGGAGCTGGTCAAACATGGGAAGGTGGTGTCCCCGCTTAAAAAGCTGTCCTCGGGTTGCAAGTCGCCTTTAATGAGGCATGTGGTGTCGCATAGGAGGCAACTCCACATGGTCCTCACCAAACCCCAGGCCCTCGACCTGGTGATTAAGGTGAGGATCGAGGGGTTTGATTACGCCATGTTCGCCACATCGGACGATGGGAGGTGTTTCCGTTGCGGTGGAGAGGGACACCTGGCGAGGGGTTGCCCGGAGAGGAACCCCTCGTCCGCTCCGCTGGATGTGGGGGCGAGTGTGGGAGGGGGTGAGGCCCAGCCGGTCGGTCAGGTGGATGAGGGGGTGACTGTAGGGACGGGTGAGGGGGTGAGTGTGGCGATGGGTGACGCCCAACCGGTCGCTGAGGGGGTGAGTGTGGCGACGGGTGAGGGTCAGCCTGTCGGTCAGGTGGGTGAGGGGGCGACTGTGGCGACGGGTGAGGGGGTGAGTGTGGCGACGAGTGAGGGCCAGCCGGTCGGTCAGGTGGATGAGGAGGAGAGTGTCGGATTGGGTGAGAGCCAGCCGGTCGGTCAGGTGGGTGAGGGGGCGTCTGTGGGCATGGGTGAGGGGATGAGTGTGGGATTGGGTTAGGGCCAGACGGGCGACCAGGTGGATGAGGGGGAGAGTGTGGGATTGGGTGAGAGCCAGCCAGCCGGTCGGTCAGGTGGATGAGGGGTCAGAGGGGATGAATGTCGGAGTGGATGGGGGGTTGAATGTAGCCCAGCGGGCAGGTGTGTATGACAGAGTGAAAGAGGGGATGGGGGCACTTGGTAGCGGCGGAGCTGTTCAAGGTGGAACCTCGGACAGCGAGGAATATATGGAAGAGGGGGGGGTGGATTTTAAGGCTCCCTGCCTGAGGAGGAAGACGAGGGCCAACAGGGGAGGCTCTCGGGCAAAAAGAGGGGGGCGCAGAGGAAAGGTGGGAGGTGGGGAGTCAGAGTCCTCTTCAGGGTGGGCCTCTGAAAACAGCGTCTCCTCAGGGGGGACAGTCACCAGCAGGCACGGGGTGGGGCAGATTAAATCGTTCCTGGTGGCCACCAAGAACCAGAGAGGAGTGGAGCTGGAGGACTACTTCTCCAACTTGGAGAAGTTTGCGCGCTCCGTTCGACACTGCTGCACGAAAAAGGGTGTAGCAGACTACACCCAGCGGGAGGTCTTCCGACTACGGAAGATCCTCAAGATCACCAGGGATGGAGGAAATGGGGCTGAGTGAGGCGTCTGACCGGCGGATCCTGAGCGGGAAGACGGGCCACTGCCAAAGTGACTGATGACTGTGAATTGTTTTTTTTATGTAAACTAAAGATTTTCTAAAAGTCAAAAAAAAAATCTCTCTCATTCTCTCTCTCTCGTGGTGGTGTGCAGAGGAGGAAGAGGATGCAGTGGAGGCTGGGCTGGGTGTTATCGTACCTGGAGGAACGCTCGTAAAAGTGGGCCACAGTTATTCACCAGCTCCCCTCCTTGCCCCCTGGAGACCCTGTGGATCTGCACGCTCTCTGCAGATCCCACAGGACTCTGCTCTTTTCTATGTCTGTGCTTTATTCTTTTTCTAGCTCTGCATATTCCTCTTTCTGTCTCCGTCAGTGCCGCGCTTTTGTTGTGGCCTCTCTTTTCTTGCTGCGTCTCTTGTTTCCTCCTCTGTCTCGGTCTGTGGGGAGGATTTTCTACTGGATACCAATTGAAACTTCTTTCATTGTTTGCCTCTTTCCTCAGAGAGTGTGCATGCAGCGCCTCATCTCTCTCGCTCTCTCTCTCTCTCTGCAGCTGCGGTGAATTTTTTTGTTTCCCTTAACTTTTATCTTTTGTTGCCCCTTCTTGCTTCAGGGTGGACCCGATGCCCCATGACACGCCCAAGCCGCCGGGCTACACCCGCTTTGTGTGCATCTCAGACACCCACTCCCGCACCGACAGCATCCAGATGCCGTACGGAGATGTGTTCATCCACGCCGGAGACTTCACCGAGCTGGGACTGCCCTCGGAGGTCAAGAAGTTCAACGACTGGCTAGGTTAGCATCCGTGGGAGGTGTGGTTCACGATCCAGCATGGGTCAAGTCCCGGGTTTTCTCTTAATAGTTACCATTGGGATGCTCAGTGCAAGGCTTCTCTCACTGGGCTGCGAATTTTTACGATTGCTGTCAGTGGGAGAAAATTATTTTTAAGTTTTCTCTGGGCTTTTGTTTCTGTTATCACTATATATTAGTGCCAGATCAGAGTTTTATAAATTGACTGCACAAACTTGATTGACTTGAAAATGGATGGTTTTCCCAAGCAGGCCTTCGATCAATTTCCTTCCTTATTGAATGGATTTGAGTTTAAGGACGCTTTAAGAGCATCAATCATTTTTATGTCAACCTTTGAAGAGCACATATCCTAAATATATCAGATAACCAAATTTCCCAGTCTGCTTCTGGTTTGTCCTCTGTCTTCAATTTTCTTACAACAGAGCTTATGAAAACATCGCTTTGAGGAGGAGTTGAGGAGTTCCTTGAACACACTACAAAGGAGAGTTTCTCTGCTCAGAAAGGCACTTCAACCCAACGAGAACTTTGACAAAAGAATGAAGTAGACTGATAGTTCAATGTGATGTACAGGAAGTCTGTGAGAGTTGATTTCTTTTGCGCGGCCTACCTGAATAGAAACCAACCGCTTCCTGGATATAATAAGAAAACTCAAACTAAAAAGTGGTGCAGTGCGTTGGAAAACAGGCCCCATATGATTTGTGTGAAACATGCAGAAACCTAATAAACTTAGTCTGGCCATCCCGTGTGATGTGGTGCAGCACAAGTCTGGTTTGTGTTATGTGCTCTTAGTTCGGACAGAGCTCATATCACTGTAGCTTAACACTGACACCATGAGACAGAGCAGGCACGCAAAGTATCTAATATTTACATTACCTGTTTAATATTCAACATATTTTATTAACAGACATTTCATTTATGTTTTCATTCTCTGACTGCGTGTGTATATGTATAGAGTTTTCTTTTATAGTATAGTAGCATCAGTCTGCCAGTTGTTAACTTTATCCTGTTATACTTGCGTTATCCTTGTAGCGCTCAAATTTATTTATTCTTTTAACTTGTTGTTTTGCCAAAACATCAAACAAATGCTTGTCTTCTTGCTTAAATGAATATATATATATATATAGATTAAGACAAAATCAACCAGTTTCTGGTCTTCAGCAGCGAAAGGGGTTTGCTCAGTTAAATGATGGCTCAGCAGTTATCACTGATGCTGCGTTTACATTCTTTGTAATTTTTAAATCAGGGTCATTAAATGACAAATTGTCGTGGCGCTACGTGATGGAGGTCACATGCCACAAAACCTTCCTCAGCGCACCGTTGAGACGGTTAAATGTTAACCAATCACATGTTTTGTTTTTGCCCTGTTCTTATGTCGTAGGCCAGTTCTCGGTGCTATTTAACGATTGACCTACTTGAGCAACACTTCAGTAGTTGATAATCCAGCTGACCATGTTTGGTCCATATGCTTTTGTTGCTCGTTTTGGAACACAGGCTTAAACTCAAATGTCACAGGGACAAGTGTGCCAGAGCCATTCAAAATAAGCATGAGGATGAAGTGTAGTTAAAGGCCTAACTAACTAATAAGTGGACTGTGAAGATATTTGTCTCAAAGCTGTGCAGTTGCATAGCAATGTCTGAAAATATACTTTTGACCACCAAGAGTGTTTTGAATCTTTACAATGTGACATAATTAGCATTGACTATATGTGACATACGTCTCATACTATATGAGACATTTAGTCATAATTAGGATTGGGTCCCGAGAACCCGGACCAATATGGCACCGGTTCCTGTACGACCGGTATCTACTGAACTGAAACGCAATGGAGATTTCAGTGCTTGCTTTTGGTGCCTGAGCCGATTGCAAAACTTTATTTACACACTTGAATGACTTGTCCTCGCAGAAGCTGACTATAGCCTACCCCTGTGTAGCTGAAGCAGCTAGCTAGCCATCTCCCTTCTATTCATATTAGGGCTGTCAACATAAACGCATTAATCTATGCAATTAATGTGGTCAAATTAATGAAACAAAATATTTTAACGTAGTTAACGTATGTCTGTTTACTTCCCGTTTACTTCCTGTTCCGGAAGTAAATCGGAAGTTGACCGCGGAAACGAAACGGCCGCTAGCTGCAGTCAGTTACATCAAGATGGAAAGAGCTTTTTGCATTAGAAGTAAAACAAACAGAGGCGCAACATACAGTGAAGAACCGTGCTGAGGAATTATTCCACGTGTCAAACAGAAGGGAGGTGAGTGTCAAACGGACCACTTAAAGCACTGCTATGCTAAGCTAGCTGCTATGCTACTTTCATCTCGACATCTAACGTTACTCTGCGCAGCAAACAGTCTACAGAGGACTCCCTAAAAGACCGTGGTTTGAAAACGTCCTGGCTAAATGTGGGGAGATCGTTAGCACTTCTTACACAGCCGTTAAATTATGGCGAGTTGAAAACAAAGTGAATGAGGACAGCATGAAGAGTCGCTAGTTGTTCATGTTCAACATGATCCACCAGGTGTAATTCTACCACCAAGATCATCATATGTGCATAGTTTTGTGTTTAAAATAACATTAACAATTAAACAACAGTGTCTATAATATATACGTCTAAAGTGATTACTCATTACTTTCATTAAAATTAATGAGTAATCACTTTCATTAAAAACAAACATTTTGAACAACAACAAGAACATTCATTAATCGCGATTAATGAATTTCAAAATGTGCGATTAATTCGTTTTTTAATTTATATTCATTTAAGTCAGTGTTTCTTTCCGTTATAAAATTCTGAATGTTTTTTTGCAGCGTGCGGCACTATCGCCCCGACGGACGCATTTCAGAGAACTGCGCGCACACACACAGACGTGTGGGCGTACACAGGTGAGCACATACTCACTAGCGGACACAGAGCGTGCGTCCGCAACGCCCTCCCGTCGAACGGCCCGCCGCCGTATTAAAGTATTAAACCGAGGGTGTAGTTTGTCATTAAGCCGCATTGACCTGCAGACACGTTACCAATTTTCTTTACGCGAATGACGGCAGATCGTTTGATTCTTTTCGTCTTTATTTTACGCAGCAAAGCGTTAACTAAATATTCAATTAATCAATTATATCACGCGGTAGATAAACAATATGCTCTCGTGCCTAAAGCAGCTCTTCTGTGTTGCACCTGCTGCAATCGTGACGTCAATAAATCGAGACAAACAAGAAGCGTACAATCCAACATAAATGCTTTTTAATATATGTTACATATCTTTAGTTCCTGCTCAATGAACATACATCTGAAATTAAATGATTAATATTCCCCAAATTCCAATGAACTTATAGATACACTTCCGGCTCTTACAGATGCTAAACACCAAGTATACTGTAAACTGTAAACAGTTAATATATTGTTCATAGTTAAAAAGTTCAACGCTGCAGTTTGAAGTGTTTTTTATTTATTTATATTTACAGTATTGTTTAAACAGTTAATATATTGTTCAATTTGAAGAAAAAAAAAATTGCTTTGGCATCACATTTTTGTTTCAATCATTCAATCATTGTTTTGTGGTTCTTTTTCTTTAGTATTGGTATTGGTTCAGGCATCGTTTATGCACCGGTATCGGACAAAAACAAACGATACCCATCCCTAGTCATAATAGCAATACTTATACTATATATACTTGGTTAATCCCTGTAATTATAGTAAGAGCTATTGAGAATTCTGCAGTATGTTTACGAACCGTCTCCTTTCATAGGAGCTTTGCTGGACTTACACTTTTCCGGAAGCATCTTATCTCTGTGCTGTTTTGGAGCAAGTGTAAGTTTAATCACTGCTGTGTGACATCTTTCGGCAACCGGAATGAAACTACCTTGTATGCACAAGCCAGGGCAACAGGGAAAACTGTTGTATCAGCGAGACACAACGTAGGATGTATAGCAAAGGGGTCCCTGCTATCCTCTCCGTCATTGTCGACAGCGTCATCAACACCTTCTAAACCCCACCCATGAACAGCAGAAGCCTGTTACCGGGCGCCATTGTATATTCGCCTCTTTCTCTGGGGGAGTGTGGAGGGGAGATAAGGGGAGAAATTGTTGTCCTTCCCCTCCTCTTCATACATACACACACACACACGTGCAAGCTGCAAGGAACACAAGCTGTAGATCCGCTAGTCCCACACTCCAGCGACGACAGGAGAGACGGGGAAGGAAAAGATAAACCGAGCCAAAAGCGCCTGCTGCTACCTCTGAAATCACTCTCCCTTCTCTTCATCCCATCCTGCTCTGCTCCTCTCCTCCTTTCAGAATCAGAATTGGCTTTATTGGCCACGTATGCTTACTCATAAATGGTATTTGACTCTGTTTGCGGAGGACAAAGTGAAAACCAACAAATAAAGAAGAAAAATAAAAAACAAAGACAACATTAAAAGTAAAACAGATGTAAGTATAGACATTTAACAACCCCAATAATCTTAAATCTATATTTCAAAGGTATATATGTGGACATAAACTGAGGGTAAACTATCTGCTGGTGATAGTACAGAGTAAAGGACAATTAGCGAGGGGGCAGGTGGCGTCTGACTGGTTAAGGCTACATCCACACTACTCCGTCCGCACAAAGACACAAACCCTGCGTTTTCAAACTGATCTGTTTTTGGTGCTTGTGAACGCCGGCATAGTGTGGACGCTCAGTGTAAACGTAGCAAAACATATCCATTTTAAAACAAAAAGATAGTGTAGACAGAGCCTAGGTGTTTCATCAAAGAGACCCGAGGGAAGAAGCTGTTCCTGTGTTTGCTGAACTACCAGAGAGAAGGAGTCTGAACAGGTGGTTTCAGGGTGTGAAGCGTATGCAGTGATCTTACTCTGGAGGTTTACAGGTCCAGGATGGAGAGCAGGCTGGACCCAGTGATTTTCTCTGCAGACCTGACGATCCATTGTAATCTGTTCCTGTCCTGTTTAGTGGCTGATCAGAGAACAGACTGGATGATGTCAGAGTAAACA